GATGAGTCTGATAATTACTGGATGTATGATATTTTCTTGTTAAATACCTTTGTGTGCATGTCTGTTATGCTAGTCGCCATCATCGCTCTGTTCTGCTTATTATTGCACGCTCTACTTGAACATTCTATTACATTATTGGATGCATAGTTATTGATATAATGTATTTGGTTATTTCAGATGGGTCTATCGGATCTTTAAAATGAACACCATTATCTCATACCAACGGCGTGGAGTTCTGGGATTCTTAGCTGGCGCATCACGTCCTCTTTCTGCCTCAGTTTGCTGCTTCTTTCCTCCAGAGCTTGGTCCACAATCGAGCCCACGGAGATGCCACGGAGCTGGTGCTCCAAGTATGCCAGCACTCCTGCCTTTGTCTGACGATATTGGGAAACATCTGGAGGCCTGTGCCGAAAGACGTCTTTCAAATAACCGTGGAAGGCTACCCACTTGGTAAAGTTGATCATATCGATACCATTGATCTCTACTACATCTTTCCCTTGGAAAAACGCAGTATGCATATCGTGTATGTGGACGGCTGTAATCTGCAAGTTAGTCGTGGTTTGTGTCCAATCAGCATTATTCATACCGAACAGAGGAATGCAAGGGTTGTCGGAGCCCTTCAAAATTGTCCTATAGGCACTGTGGTTATGACGTGGATCCAGTAAATCATTCATCTCCTCAAGCATGCGTCTGGCATCTCTCGGAAGACGATCATATGTTAGGCCCAGACCAGTAATTGTAGTTGACTGCAAGGCAGTCACAATCGCTGACATGGATGCGAAATTACGAAATTTACGAGATTCCTGGAATAGACCCATCAGTTCAGACAATATGAACCACACCGATGGATGACTGCACCTCTGCTGTATGAACAAAGAATTTGAGTACTTCACTTCTATTTTCCAGGCTATCGCAGCGAAGAATTCCCTGCTTTACCCAATTGACGATTTTGTTATTCGTCTCAGAGGCAGCTTTAATGGTGTTCTTCCCTGACTGGCCCTGGAGATGAGATATACAGTCAGCCGGGAGAATGCGAGTATATTTGTCTCCTTCCAATATCACGAGAGCGATAGCAAGGTCTCGTGGATCAGTAGGCTGACTGATTGTTGGTGAGGTCAGTGGACGCGACAATATTGGAGAGTTCGGTGGGGACTGGAGCTACAGTGAGCAAAGATGAGACCGTGTCAAAAGTTGAAAGAAGCCCTGGATCCATACACGTTCTGTGGCAGCCGAATATAGCTCCTTAGCCAATTCTTTCATCCTCTTCGAACTCTCGACAGACAAAGCGAATTCTCTGATTTGAGTCAACACGATAATCCCAGCATCAAGGTGCGGGTGTGTCACCCAATATTTCATGACCGTAATGATGCTACACGTACCATCAGTCGAAGACACTCGATTTACTGCTAAAACGCTTACTTGATGCGCAACAGAGTACGCTGCTGCCCGGGGCTCACGTCTGCATAGTGAAATCGACGAACGAGGCACTGGAATACATCGTCGGGTGTGGTGAAAGCAACATACGTTGTAAAGAAGGCGTCCCTATATTCTACGGCTTTCGTGACGTCTGAAACAATGAGCTTGTTCAGTGGAGAGGAAGGTAAAATTTAAAACTAATTCGCTCACAGGAGAAATCAGCGATCAGTTGATCTATAAGACCCTCCAACGTCGCCACTTCGATGGAACCATCTTTTGCCCGTAAGACCGGCGGCGGTTCATTTGACGTTAACGATTCTACGGTACCCAAGAATGTAGAAGGACTAGAAGAGTCCATGCTCAGCACCGATGGCGGCTTGTCTTCCAAAGCTGACATTGACTGCTGAAACTCGGAATTTCGAGGGAGTGACGATGAAAGAGTGGGAATTTGTAGATTTGACCCTCTGGAAGCCTCACGCTCTTGTACGGAACCACCACGAATACGTGAGACGGTGTAGTCATGGGTTGTCAGCCTTTGTGAAAAGGCAGGCAAGACTTCCATTTGAGCTGAATGAAAGTCTCCGAAGGCACTTTCATCGCTGTCCCCACCGATGGATTTAATCTCGGGTAGAATGGGTGATATTGGACCGATTGAAGAGGGGGAATGTGGGATATCTAGAAATGAGTCTGGAGGGGATGGTTGCTGCGAGGATGAAGAACGGGAGTGCCGCTTTAATGCGTTAAAAAGGCCAAAAGCAGAAGAACGTCGACCTGTATATTCAGACGAGCTGCTTCCGGCAGTAGACGGGCGACTTCTGCTGCCTTTGGGTAGAATTGGTTTAGGGGAGGACTCTGCAATCAGCTCGGCTTGGATATGAGCAGGTGAACTGGCCAGGAAATCTATTTCTGGGCACATGATATCAGAAGACAGCAAGAACCGAGAGTGTACTATCCGTACGTGGATTTGGAGACGATCCGACAATCCCCCGCAGCCTTTTGATGTCTGCTTTAATTGAAGTCATTGATGGACGAGATTCTGGACGTTTGTTCCAACACTCCATCATCAGAGCCCAAAGGTCATCTGTGAGGCCTCGAGAGATTGCTGGACGACCAGGTCGTGGCGGAAGTTGGAACTTAGAAAGCGCAATCGCGACCGTGACATCCAGGGCAACATCACTGTATGGCTGCAGCCCGGTCATCAGCTCAAGACATAGCATCCCAAAACTCCAGACGTCAGTACACCTAGAAGTGGATGTTTTTGATAAGCCGATTAATGCAGGATCAATGAGCTCCGGGGCGCTCCACCGAGCGTTACTCAAACCAGAGGTAGAGCTCATTCCATGACCGGTCTGTCATATGAGGATTCCGTCACGCTAATTTTACTATCGTAGGCCAATACACACCTGTTCAAGAACCTTGGAAAATCCGAAATCGGACAAGCATGCTTTGCCTCTTTTGGAGATCAGTACATTTACCTAGCAAACAAATATGTGAGCAAACCGTGCAAAATGATCTAAGTTGCGTACTCCACGGAGATCACCGTGCACTATATTTGAGGTATGCAGATATTCCATGCCTAACAATAGGTCGGACACATGAATTTATACATGAATGTTGGGACACACCAGAAGCAACTTCACTAAGGAGACGCAGTCTGTCGACATCCGCATGATTCTGGACATAGGAAATGGCGTTTCCGTGGTCCATCCAGTGACTGACCTGAGTGTTAGTGACTTCAGCTGTGTATAATGTTTGTGTCGGGGAGCGTACAACGTACCATGTATGCATAACTTCCAAAATACGCAATGCCATACAGTCTGCAAATGTTTGGATGCTGCAAACGTCGCCAAATCTCCACTTCTTTTTCAAAGCGCTGGGAACAGCAAGTGAATCAGCTATGCGATGTCTGACTCGACGTGAGAAGTACCTGTTGTGAGTCCGGATGGTTCGGGAGGGATCGAGGGAGCCTGAGCGCAACCTATAAAAACATGGATATCGCTTTATACCTAGTGGTAGTTGGCCTACCTTCCTGTCATCTGTCCATTTCCCTGCATACAACATATGGTCAGCGAAATCTAAAAAAATTACCTGATGCCGGGCTTACCAACGTAAATATCATTGAAGGTCCCAATGGTCACGGGATGGTCACTGACTCTCTCGACTTGGCCTGTCACTAAAAAATACGTCATGAGCTGGAATTTCATTGACCTATCATGGAAAGGGCTTACAGTCAGTCATAGGAGGGAGTCCTGCTGCGTGCTGCCTGATCTGCTTTAATCCTTGTTGAAGATCTAGCTTTTCAGATGTCTCCAGGCCAGGATCATCGAGTTCCTTGAGAAGAAATTGTGACAAATTGGTATCTTGGAAATTGGGAAAAACGAACCTCTTCAATGCTCTGCACAATCTCTACTGCTGCAGGCGAGCGTATGCGTTGAATTGCTTTGAGTTCGTCAACTGACATCGCTATGTTCTGCAACATCTCTCGTAGCTCCGCCCTGTCCATTTCTTGTATGGCGGCGAGATCCCGATGGTTTTTACTTAGCTCCATATTTATTTTGATCTACTGTCCGACTGAGAGTGTGTATCCGGTGACGACGCAGAGGTGGACGAACATTAAATTTATCAAAACAATCATCAATTTGCCGGTAAAAGCTGTCTATACCGTCCTTTATGTCGTTGAGGTTGAGCAGGCTCCTGACCCGGCTGTAGGCCGCCCACTCTTCTATTCGACGCCGTATACGCGATAGAGTGCTAAAGCACAAGTCAGGGTGATTATGGACTTAGAAGTTTCATTGAAATACTGACGCCTCCACTTCATCTGCGAACTCCATTGCCTTCAGGCTTGCGTCACAAAGTAGTTTATAGGATGACGGTACACCATGCTCACCCTGGTACCTTCCATATCAGCCGAACTTTCACTGACTGCGAGGAGCAGCATCCTACACCGAGAAGCCAGATCGTTGCATTGTTGCTGTGAGTCGCGTTTATTAGTGAGATCTTTCGCTGTTGAAGACATAATCGCCGACAATGCTCACCCTGTAGACTTTGACGTCCCGAACGCTATTGTAGATAATTCCCACTGTATACAAGCCATGGTTGGTCGAGATATCCTTGAAATGCTGTGCATCCAGAAAAAGCCTCACCAGTCTTGACCGCGGCATCTAATCCTGGCACACCTTTGCCAGCCAACGCAATAACATCGCCGAGACTCATGTAGAGCGCCAGTGACAGTATAGTGTGCTGGTACTATGTCTGAAGATCCAGTTCAAGTTGCTGTACCTGGGAATCAAGGTACTGTGCATGCCATCGTCCCCTGACCCGGAGGTAATGGGGATCAAGGGTGCTTTAGAGCTGCTCTCCGTGGGAGACTGCATAACTATAATCAGCACATTGAACGTTCAAACTCCGCGAGAGTTTTGTTCCCTCCGACTTCGCCAACACTGGCATCAGTCAGCAGTTTTGACCCACATCTTACCATGAAAGCAACAGAGAGGTATGATAATCAATAAAATGGCAGGCAGTCACTGCTGGCTTCATACCCTCAATCTCAATGGCGTAGAGGCACAGAAAAAGACCTATTGTTGGGCACGATGGCTGAGTGGTTAAGGCGTCGGTCTTAAGCATCCTTTGCTTCAAGTTATCCGATGGAGAAATCCTCGCGAGTTCGAACCTCGCTCGTGTCACTTTTTTATTGGATATAATTGCGTGCAGCTAAGACAAGCTGCATCGCTACACCATATGGCTGGTGGTAGAATTAAAAGAGCTGGAAATCGAATGAGATTAAAGAACGCCACAAGGCACTATAGCATTGGGACTCACTCCATTTATTTGGTCACGGCCTCCAGGCCCGTGCTTAACTCTAAATATCGCACGAAACTTCAACAATGCGTCGTTTGTTAGTGGGCCACCACTTACCTGCGTGTCGGTTTGAACTCTTCGGTATAATTGTCGTCCCATAGATTTGCGACGGTGTCTTTTCCTCCAGGTCTGTCGTTCACTCGTCTTCGATCGACGTTAGCATTGTTTGAAAGCCATATGAGCATACAATGACGTACCTGGTCGGTTTGAACTCCGGACGATAAGGCTCATCAGTAACTTCTGTCTTAGCTGCAGGTGCCATGGGCGCGGAATTAGCGGCATCCTACATGCACGATATCAATTGGACACATTGAAATAACTGCTTTGGCTCGCACTTCGGTAAGCTTGGGTGGAGCCTGGGCCAACGCGTCGTCTTCAGGGTCGGCTGCAAAAATATCGGTATGCCTAGTGCCCGGTTGGTCACGGGTGCCGTGAGACGGCTCAAGTCCTTCAGCTGCGACGGATGTATTGAAGATGCAATTCTCGAATCGACTATTTCATGACATACCAGAAGCCTCAGCTGCAATCGCGCCCGACGCCGCAGGGGACGCGGTCAGTTTACCAAACTTCGCGTAACCTTAGTGCAGAGGTGCATAAAATTATTGACCTCTGTTTGATGAAGAGCAATATGGTCGCTTACGAGGAAGTTTTGAGATGTTCGTAAAGGAAGGATCCACCGTGATTCCGGTATATCTATGGCAGTTAAAGCATGAGCAAGGAGGCACCTCGGGGGCAAAGGCGCTCACTTGAGGAACTCGATCAAGGTGCGTTTCGTGAAGACAATACTAGTAGAGTCCCAATCGAGCATTCCTGTGGGTATTTTTATGATTAATTGGTTGATTAATTCATTGGTTGCGATCATTGCGTGAAACAGACGTACCAAGGTTGGCTTGCCAGTCCTTTTCTTTCGACAAGTCGACCGCGGCAGAAGGGGTAAACCTGGTATAGCACGCTCAGTCACTTTGATTGAGTGCATCGGGGAGACACACGCACATAGAAGAGGACATGTTGAATATATAGCAACAGTGAGTGGAAGTTGTTGTGGAAAGACGAGAAAGCCGATTTGCCTTTTCTATCAACGTTTGATGTTCATCCCAAACAGTCGTCGATGAGGCATCCGTTTGCTCTCAGATGTCTTGCTCCATTTGCCAGGTCCTTTGTAACAGCTGCGTCAAGCGCGTCTGCTGTTTACACAGACCCTTCCAGGCAGCATGACCTTGCAGTTGCAACAACACCGGCCGATATCTCCCAAAAACAACAGTGCATCCTTGACGCTGCGCTCCGTGTTGACCAAGCTGGAGAGATTGCGGCTAACTGGATCTATAGAGGCCAAATGGCCGTACTTGGACGTGACCGCACTACAGGACCAATCATCCAGGTCTGCTAGTTCTCCCTTTGCTTCACCGTTTGGCTCTAATTGATACTCATGCTAGGATATGTGGAACCAAGAGAAGAAACACCTGATAGTTATGAATCGACTACAAGCACAGCACCGAGTGCGTCCCACTATACTTTCGGACGTCGCAAAAGTGGCTGGTTTCGGCTTAGGTGCGATGACTGGAATTATGGGCAAAGAGGCCGCAATGGCGTGCACAGAAGCGGTCGAAACTGTTATAGGGGAGCATTACGACGAGTATGTTGATTGATTAAATCGATAAGTTATCGCTGATCTGTCCTTTAAGTCAATTGAAGGACCTGGACGCACTGCCGTCATCGCATCCAAGCATCCCACTTCTCAAAAATATTATTCGTGAACTGAGGGATGATGAACTCGAGCACCTCGACACGGCGGTGGAGCATTTCTCCCAGCGTGCACCTGCGCATGCCCTTCTGAGTACAGTCATTGGAGGTGGTTGTAAAATCGCCATAGAGCTATGCAAAAGAATGTAGCTGTTGTTCCATGGTTTCATGCTTGCCTCAAAGTTCTCGTTATGCAAGTCTTATGTAGTCCAATTACGGGTGACTAGCCAGGTTACAGAGCACGGGGTATCAGATCGGACTAGCAGTTGTCTGGCAGTTGTCATTCGGTATAAGGAAAGTTTTGAATTGTTCGACTTTGTCATTACAAGCCCGAGGAAATTGGAGCATCATGACTCCCTCTTGAGGGACTCCCCTTTCCGTTTCCCAGTCCAATCCCACCTCATCTGTTCAGCCGAAAAATCGTCAATAGAGCTGGTGATATTTGGGGTGATCGGACGTACATGCGTTGCATTACTGAAATAGAGGAGGGCTCCGGGTATCAGTATGCAACTAATCAAAACAACTCGGGTTGTGCGAGATGTAAAGCGGAAACGCTGGTACGCATTTTCACGCTGGACGTGACAGCATAAGGACATGTTGGAGAAATTGCTAAGGTTGTAATCACCATATTGTTCCAATTTTCTATCGCTGGGTCTTGCTGTTTCGAAGGAACGTCGTTAACAACTCGTAAGATAAATCCTACGGGAATCTAGTACCTTAACATATCCTAAACACTTACTGCATCAGTAATACATAGCCTGATAGCGCACAGGTAGACACTGACCATGCCCCGCCATGATGGAATTCAAGAACAGGTTTGTTGAACTTTATTTACTCCGGTTTCTTGTCCTGTGGACACCACTACGGATCCCCGCACCTGCTTCTGTCACTTCGAACATGGCCTATAACCGCGACTGGGACAGAGGCAAAGACTCTTGGAATAGCACTTACTATGACCATTACGATGATAACTCGTGGAATGATGGTGGTGGCAGGGAGAATGTTCGCCCCAGAGACGAGGACTACTACAGTGAGGGAAAGCGTAGAAAGTACAACGACGGGGTTTGTCACATCCACACTGGTGCATATTTGAATCTAAACTTGCCACAGGGCTACGATGCCTCGCAACAATACGACGACGCCGGCTATGGCAAAGGCGAGCATTCTCAGGATCACCCCAGCGATGACCGCTCACAGCAACGAGGATTCAACAAGAAACGTCTCGTACCCAGCGAACCAAGTCCCCATGTCATTTTTCTTGGTTTAGATCCAGACTTCACTGAGGCGGATGTTCGACTTCTTTCTACTACCTCCCGTAAATGCACCCATCACTGAATATAGGCTTCGTCCAGCTTCAAACATATCTGTCCAGTAACGGCTGCAGCATAGAAACTGTCACCATTATCAGAGATAGATCAACAGGCACTTGCCCATTCGTATTTGCTTCTGCGCATACATTAACGTTTCCTCCACCGTTGGATTTTCAAAGGTGTCTCTAAGGGCTTCGGATTTGCCCAGTTCACAAGCTCCGAACACGCTCGTTCATTTGTGGATCCTCTCTTCCCTTTCATTCAAGTACCACCTCCTGCTTCGCATGGTGCATCTGCCACAGCTGCTTTCAACAAAGCAGTGGAGACTGGTGCACCTCACAATGGCCGACGTATCAAGATTGATTATTCTCAAAGCGCTAGTCCCCACGAGAAAGGGCGCGGCAACCGCCAGAACATGAATGATGGCACACGCGATATCGGAAATGCTCAAGTTCCCGTTCTACTTTTTCGAGGTCTTGACCCTTTATCTGGCCCTCAAGCCATTCACCAGGCAATGATTGGTTCCTCAGGAACTGGAAAGGAGGGCGCTAAGGGTATGAAGAGGATCATACTAATCAAAGACAAGATTACCACGGCCAGTTTTGGCTTCGCATTTGTGGAATTTGTTGACGTTGAAGTAACGTGTTATGCCATTATTATTTTTCATTTGTAATACTAACAACCATCCCGTAGTCTGCTGCTACTGTTCTTGCGGCCACTATGTCACCTCAGGTCCATCCCTCGGGTTTCCGCATTTCTGACCGCCCAGTAGCTGGGTCGTTCGCACATCCTTATTCATTCCAACCTGTTTCCGATTACATGCTTCGGGATGAAGCCGCTATTGCTTCATCTTTGGCCTTGGGAGGGGTGGAGGGTACCTGGGTCAGATATTGGGACGAAACTTCCACCGTCGCCGTGCTCGAATTCAAAGTTGCGGAGCCCGTTCAACCTCAGCAGGTTGTGCCTACAAAGGAGAAGAAGGAGAAGAAGAAGCCCAAAGGCCAGTGGTTTTCCATACCTTTTTCAGACCCAATTAAATCACGCAAGCAGGCGATACGGGGTTATCTGCACCGCCTGCGGCGTCTACACTTCCTGTATCCGACAAACCAGTGACACTAAGCTTCAGCAAAGGACCCGTGGCGGCGAAACCACTAGCGAATTCATCCGGTTTGTTTGATTCATTTCTTATCATTCGTCACCACTCAAGCTCCACTTGCAGGTTCCATACCTCCTAAAGCAGGAGCTCCTATGGCTTTGGGGTTCTTATTTGCAGAGGAAGCTGACCAGAATGGCTCGGACGGAGCTGATGAAAAGTTCTCGAATATAGAAGAAAATAAAGGTATAGTTGCTCGTGAAATGGCGGTTCTGCTAGTGTTGATCATAATCGACGCAGTTACTGCTGCTAAAAAGGTTCCACCGTTGATTGCGAGCAAGAAGGTACATTTTGACGACCGTTCCTACTGCTACCGAAGCAACGTGATTGTAATGTTAACCTGGATCTACGTGCAGACGGTCAATAACATTAACAAATGGAATCAAGTCCAAGAAGAATTAACCCATCACGCGGATACAGCTCCGGTTCTGGTGATTTTTTCTTCTTGTCTTCCATTTTGGCCATCGAGCCGTGGGTTGATTCTTATATGCTCCATACACCAACTCTAGGCTCCTCGAATTGCAAGTACAACTTCGGCATCGATGGCGCCCATTATAGCAGTGGAACCCGAAACTTCCGGAACCCTGTTGCCTCAGGAGAAGGATCTTGAATTCGCCGACAT